TGGGGACAAAGGCACCAACCTCTCCACGTTATGGAGTGCCGCTTGTTGTCAGCAGTGACATTTCCTGCATCCCCACAAGTGTGATGGGTCAGGGGGCACGGGCTGGGCGTGAAGGTGTGCGATGGTGCCGGGCAGTGGGCAGGGGTACCCGTCCCACGGCGGCTGTGTTTGGTGTCAGGAGCTGCCGCGTGAGCAGCCGGGTCCCAGCTCGGTGCCCCAAACTGTGGTGCTGGGGGAGAGGGCCACGTACCATGGGCTGAGCGTGCAGGGCACGGGCAGGGCTGTACCCTGCGGTCCTCAAGGGTGAGGGCTCCTGTGTGCTCCCCATGGAGCCCCACTTCCAGCCCCGCTCCCTTTGCCCACTCCACACTCAGGCCCCCGCTGCTCATCGGTCACAGACAAGGTTCAGCTGAGGAGCTCGGAGGGATGGAAACGAGGTTTCACTCCTGCCTTTTGCCAGCCCATTCTCCATGGGAGAGCCTTGTTGGGCCCAGCTGGACCCCAGAAATCCACCCCAGTGGCAATAGCCTGGGCAGGAGCTTGTCCTTCCATCCCCAGCACAGGCACCAGCTTATCTGCTCCCCTCAACTCATGGGGGATGATGTTGGAGCTGCAGATGCTGCCAACCTGCCCCCACTCCCATCACCCGGCTCCTCTGTGCCTGTTGGCCCTGCAGCCACTCGGCCCAGGCTGGGGACACGGATTCTGTGCTGGTAGGTTTCGGACTCTGAGCTGGGACACGTCTCCGCTCTGTGCCTGAGGACAAGCTCTGCTGCATCTGGGGTGGAGGGGCTGGGTGGGAGCCCAGAGGGAGGTAGGGAGAGATTATGGGCAGGATCCGGCCCCAAGCGCGGGGTCAGATTTGCATGGAGGGGCCGTGCCCAGGCAGGCGGGGGCTTAAAAGGGAGTTGAGGTCCACGACACAGCCCCATCGGCGTCGGGACGCAGAGCTGGTGGAATCGCGCCATGGCCTGGGTCCCTCTCCTCCTCGCGGTGCTCGCCCATGGCTCAGGTGCCCTGGACGGACTCGCTGTGCCCGGACGGGGCCTCATCCTGGTGCCCAGGCAGGGCTGTGCTTGTGGGGCACTGAATGACCCCCGTCTTCTCCCCTCTCTCCTCTCCCTCTCCAGGTTCCCTGGTCCAGGCAGCCATGACTCAGCCATCCTCAGTGTCAGCGAACCCGGGACAAACCGTCCAGATCAGCTGCTCTGGGGTTCACAGCAGGCTATGTTGGCTGGTACCAGCAGAAGACACCTGGCAGTGCCCCTGTCACTGTGATCTACAACAGCAACCAGAGACCCTCGGACATCCCTACGCGATTCTCCGGATCCAAGTCCGGCACCACGGGCACGTTAACCATCACTGGGGTCCAAGCTGAGGACGAGGCTGTCTATTTCTGTGGTGGCTACGACGGCAGCAATGATCCCACAGTGACACGGAGCAATGAGGAAGTGATACAAAAACCTCCCACCATCGCAGGGACCAGTTAATCGTCTGTGCTGTCCCCATATGCTGGTGGTCCTGGTTCGTGCCGTGTCCGGGCCCTTGCTGCCCTGTGCTGCAGGTGGCTGTGCCTGGTGTCCCCATTCTGCTGTCCCATAGAGCCCCAGTTCTGTGCCCATCTCCTATCTTTTGGGAGGGAATGACCCCCATTAGCCCTGTCCATGCCCCACACTGTGGGTCCAAGGTCCTCTGCGCTTCCCTGCTGGCACCCAGGGCCCGGCCAGGTGCCTACCAGCCCACCATAGGAGCCTCCAGGCACTGGGTGCCTGCTGCCTCCAGCCAGTGCTGATTTTAGCCCATAAAGGAAGTGGTTTCTGGGGCTAGCTGTTTGCCCAAGCCATGCCAAAGCACTTTCAGGGCAGTTTATGCTTCAAGGCTGCTCTGAACAGCCTACCCTTTCCCTTTTTGTGTGTTTCCAGGCATGATCAGATGAGCCACATGGCAGCAGCAGACGGTGCCTGGCATGGCCACCCCTGCTGGGCCCCAGCAGCCGGGACACAGCAGTCGTGTTTACTGTCTCCAATGCCCCTCCAGACCAGCACCCCTCACCTGCCCCTGCTCCCACCAAGGCCACACACCAGGCAGGTGCTGAAGGGCCAACACCCCCAGTATGTCCAGCACGGCATCAGTCCCCCTCCGTGCCCCTCTCCAAGGAGAAATGTTTGAGCATAATGTTGTCCCCCTTTATTGTCCTCCCCTAAAATGGAACCAAAACTCCATCAAAGCCCAAGAAATGCTCAGAAACTGATCATCCACTATAGATGGCATCGGCTTCAGGAAAATGCTTTGCGTAGAAAATTCCAGTGATTTTGTTGGCTGCTTTCAGCCTTTGCAACAATGCACAAGCCTACCCAGAGGCACACTAAACTTCTGAAACAGACAGTGCCTGGAACCACAAAATCTTCGAAGCATCCTTTGTTTTCTAGTAACTCCGGAGGTTCACCGACTCTGCCTCTTTCTATAACCACTTGCACAAACCACAGCATTTGAATATTTTCAAGTTCAATTTAAGTTGGTCCTACTGAAATTCAGCCCTCCAAGAGCTTGTTTGCTCTGAGACAAGCACCCTGCGCCCTGTGAGATTGGCAGCACTCTGGGCAAACACTTTACACAGTAGCAGCCAAGCCTTCCCTGGGGAATCTGAAGTTAATCATTCTTAGCTGAAACCACCCTGGCTCACCCCTGCCCTGGCTATTCCAGCTGTATGCTGGCATCCATATCCCTTGCATGCTTTTCTCTGCTAGTCCCAGCTCTTCCTCTCTACCAACAGCCTCCAATGCCTCCTCACCAATCCTCTTTGTGTGCCCTGGCCCTTGGCAGATGCTCCCAGGAGCCCTCACCCGAGGGCTGCAGCTCCAAAGGGCTGCGAACGCCAGAGCTAAGAGGGCACAGAATAGGCAGGGGTGGCTCTGCGGGAAGCTGAGTTCCTGGGCAGGCAGGGATACTGCTGGCAGGGTCCTTGGAGCAAACCTGCAGATCTCTGCAGCCTCCCTGTCTCCCATGCAAGGATAATACGTCTGCTATGCCTCTCTGTCCATGCTGCTGCTCCGGAGCTGGCTTAGCTGGTGCCTTGGGAAGCAGACACCACCTCTGCAGAACCAGGTGAGATGGGTTTAAGTGCTCTGCTCAGTGCCAAAGGCACCGTCTGGCTCCACTACTGAAGGCAGGAGGGTGCCCAGAGCAGCACATGGGCTGCCAACCCTGCGCCACGCTCACCCTGGCAGTAGCGTGGGTTCCCCCTCCACACACGTGTGCACCGGGACGTGCTGCTCTCATTCGCCCTTTACTTCATGCTCCTTACACCCCGGCCCCCAGCTCGCCCCCAGCCCAGGCCATGCTGCCCACCCAGATGCTCAGCCCATCTCTGGCATCTCTGCACAGCACAGCCCGGGGAGGGGTGCTGCGGTGCTCAAAAGGGGTGAAGCTGGACCCAGCGAGCTGCCACCCACTCCCCAGAGAGAGACAAGGTGGGACTGATTCTGAGGCCACCAAAGGCAGACTGGCCCAGACTGGGGGGGGATCTTCACTAAAACTTGTGACCCAGCGAGCATTTTATACAGGGGGATGTTGAGAGGGGGATTGACACGTGATTTCAGCCAAGAGCTTGGCCCAGCCTCTGGGTATCCCTCAGGAGGGATGGGCTGGGGGGAGGATTCACAAATACCGTCCCTACTCTGTCATCCCCCGCAAGCGGCACCGCACAAGCTGCACCAGGAGCTGGAGCCCAGCTGCCTCCCAGCCGCACTCGCGGGGCGCTGGGGCTGCTGTCGGAGCTCAGCAGCTGCTTGGACTCCTTCTGCGCAACAACATGTCACTGCCACTTCTTTGGTGGTGGGACCCAGATGACCATCCTCAGTAAGTTGCTCTAATGCTCACCCAGGGTCTTCCTGATGCCAGAGGCTGTACGGCTCTTCCTCCAGTTCAGGGAGTTTGTTTTTTTCTCTCTTCAACTTCTCCATTTGGTTATAGTAGTGTGTCCTCCATCTGTCTAACCACTCTGAAACGCGTTCACGTGCCTTTCCTTTACAGGAGCAAACAAGGGCTGCTTGGAGCAAGCCAGATGGCTGCTGCCTTCCGTCTCTGGGCTCCTGCTGTAAATTCTGTTGCACCCAGGCAGCTGAGTGGGAGCCACGTCAGGTGCTGGGGCTGCACCAGCCCTCAGTTTGGTCCATGAGTGCGGGCTTGATCTCCCGCAGCGAAGGCGGGAGCTAAATCAAGTTGGAGAAAGCAGCTGGCCAAGACTCCTCTGCCACAGCGCCCAGCGCCGGCTGATGCCCCCAGCCCTCCCCTCCACCTGTGGACCAGGACCACTTGACTCGGGCAGGGCAGGAAGTGTTGTACCTTGAGGGCACCCAAAGCCTCCACCAACTCTTCCTCACCTGGGATTAATGTCCCCATACCGCAGGCAGAGACATGGACTTGTAACAAGAACGAGGTGCAGTCCTAGGTAGCAGAGGGGTCCCTGGAGCAGCCAAGGACACAGCCATGCCAACACAGTCTGTGTGGGATGGTGGGGCCAAGGACACCCATTTTCCCATGGCCTCTCCAGCAAGGACATGCAGTCATCCCCATATAGCTGTCATGCTGCTCCTGCCCTGCCACATCCACAGAGGCATGACCAGCACCGTGCATCCATACTGCTGTGTCCATTGGAGCGCCTTCATCCCATCACCTCCATCTTGCTGCGTCCATTGCAGCACCTCCACCCCATCGCTTTCCTGCTGCTGCTTCCATCAGGACACCTCCATCCCGTCACCTCCATCCTGCTGTGTCCATCAGGGCACCTCCATCCCATCACCTCCACTCTGCCACATCCATGGGGCCCAGGACTGCTCCTGCCATGGGGCAGGAGGTTTTTGCACAGCCATGTATCACTGTGTGGTGTATTTGGAGCTGGGACCGTGCTGACCGTCCTAGGTGAGTCGCCGACTTCTCGGTCTTTCCTTCCCCACCATGAAATTGTGACATTTTGTTGATTTTCGGTGATCCGGGGTTTTTTTCTCCGGCTTGGCGTTGGGCTGGGGTCTGCCGTTGGTTCGGAGACAGGCACTAAGCGCGGCATTGCGGGCTGTGTCTTGTCCTGCGGACTTGGAGGGCTCTGGTGCACGTCATGGAGGATTGGGGGGTATTTTCTCAATTGAAAGATCTTAAAATTTGTGCAGGAAATGTGTCTGAGGTCTAAGGGAGCCTATTTCAGAAAGTCAGGTTTAGATCCTTAAGAAAGTTAATTTTTGTCTTTGTTAAAGAAATTAGTTGTTAGTCTAAGGTCTAAGGTCTAAGTCCTCAACTCTTAGTCCTCTTACAGTCTTTATCTGTAATTTTTAAAAGAATTCGGCCAAAAATCCCAATCTGAACAGAATGACTAGGGGCATGAGACTGAGAAAAATGCAGTTTACCAGTTTCTTCAGCAGAAAGTTTTTAATGGCGGAGTCCTTGTGGTTTTTGAATAGAGATAGAGACAGAGACAGAGATAGAGATAGAGATAGAGACAGAGACATTGTACATTTGAGGAGGCAGCAGAACCACGTCGGAAAGACCAAACATCTTTTCTTTGTCTTCGTTTGGCTGATTCTTAGTCGTACTTTTTCTGAGACAAGTTTGAAAGTGTCTGAAAGCAGAACTGGACAGCAAACAGGATGGTTTGTCTTTGAATTTTTGATTTTTGAAAAAATTGCCTTGCAGAAGGAAAGAAATTTCTGGTTAGAAAGACTAACCAGAGATTTTCTTTTATATATAAAATATATATATAACATATAT